CTTTCTTGCTCCCTCAGAGTTCATTTGGTAAAAAAAGAGTTGTGTTTTTTTTTTTTTTTTTTTTTTTTTTTTTTTTGGAAACTGTGATGCATTTTTTTTCAGGATTTTTTGCTAAATAAAAAGTTCATAGGAACAGCATTTATTTGGTATAGAAATTGTATTTGTAGTTATGTAAAAGTCCTTACTGTTGCTTTTGATAAATTAAATGCACCCTTGCTGAATAACAGAATTCATTTCTTTTATAAAAAGGAAATATTAGTAACCCCAAACTTAATTATATTATTCTTGAATTTGGTTTATTCACTATAATTATGCATGGTTTCTTTCAGGCAGTGACACATGTGACTGGCTTTTATCCAGTGGACGTTTTTTAGGGGACAATGTATGGCAGCCCTATGGCTGCATGCTACACAAGTACAAAAGCACGTGAGTCATAACTTGTGATTGTTAATGTACCTCAGTGATGCATGTGGGATAGAAATGTGGGCTGGAATTTACAGTCCTTTTATTGTCTTTCAGTGAAGCAAAGTTTTGCCTCAGAGAGAAGAGAATAGCATTTGTAGGAGACTCTAGAATACGTCAGCTCTTCTATTCCTTTATCAAAATGATCAATCCTGAGGTGAAAGAAGTTGGGAACAAGGTTTGTTGTTGCTATTCATTTCAGTAAGCCTTCTTTTGGTTAAGTGATATAATGTATTTCAGACCAGAGTGATGTTCAGTGTAGGATGGCCCCCAAGCAATTGCAACTTTAATAAATGTGCCACTCAAAGGCTGCAGTTAAATTAAAAAGGAAATGGTGTTATTGTTCCAGTTTAATAGAATATTTCCAATGGTATTTCACAATGGCCCCCGACAAAAGCAGTTGTTTATTAACTCCTGGCCACAGTATTTTTTTTCCGTATAGCAGACCTTTATAACTTTTCATGACTTCTATAAAACATGATTTTTAATCAAAAAGTCCCTTCACCCTTCCCTTTTTCTATGATCCGATAAATTCCAGATGAAAAAAGTCAAGTCCCACGCTAGTTATTACATACCTGTCAACCCTCCTGTTTTTCCCGGGATTCTCCCGTATTTTACCATTCTATCCCGCTGTTATCCTGTTTAAATATTTTCCCGTATTTCTCCCATATTTTTAATCTCTCTATAAAAAATAAAACAAATTCCACTGGGCGTATTTTATGTTTGCTACATTCGCCCAGTTGCCAGATCTTGTATGAAACGCATCTTTCTCACACGATCGACGCATACAAATTTCAACCCATTTGTCCCCTCAACTTGGCAACCTACAGCCCAGTGACGCTATTGATATCTGTGCAGGGGGTACCGCGGGAAGGAAACAATGATCACTGGTAGAAATGGGAGGAGAAGACTCAGGTGGTGCTCCAGTGAAAAAAAAACTAAATATACATGTAAATTGAGATATAGCTTACACTTCAAAAGGCTATGGTTCAATTGATTAAATATGAGCGCTGCAAGTTTCGAAGTCAGGTGCTGTGCTGCTTTGTTTACTGCGGTTACGGGGGAAACGGCTATATTCTTGTTTGATAATAATTGTTTAAATGAATATAAAAATAATATAATATAATATTATAATATAATATAAAAATTGTTACTTTTGATTTCTCTACACTGTGCTGTTGAACATTATTTTACAAAAATACTATTATGAAAAGAATTTGCAGTTGTTGTTTTTTTCTTTCTTATTGTTACATATATCCAGGTGAAATGGCTTCTCAGATGAGAAAATAATGTAGGGCAGGACTTGATTTTGTTCATCAGGAATTGATTCGATAATTGTTGTTTTTTACTATTGCTTCAATCTCATGTGAGTGACAAGTTGCTGGAGGGGAGTTTATTGTCTCGCCCTCGTGCCAATAAACGCAAAGTTATCGGAGAAGAAATGAGAAGTGGTTGCAAGTGGGAGGGAAAGTTATTTTGATTAAAGATTATGATGCACATGCATTTTGTGGGAATAAATAAATAAAGCACTTGGAAAAATTGTTTATAATAGACAATGCAATACTCCATTAAAAAAAGAATCAGCCATTTTCATTTCATGGTGACTTTAATGCAAAATTAATAAGAATTATACATTTTACAAATATATAATACATTCAGTGCTAATGCTTTATTATTATTATAATTTTACAGTAGATACAATAACAGTGATAAATATATTTATTCTGCGTAAAGTTAATTATATATTTTTTTCTTGTTTTTATCAATTGTTCCACCAGCATGAAAACATCCCTTTTGTAGATGGTGATTCCACTGTCGTAAGTATTTTTTAATTAGTTTTGTCCTGTACAGCAGATATTTTGATTTTATTGGAGCCGAGTTATTGTTATATAACTAGTCAAAATATGTTGCCTATGTTTACCTTTTAGGACTTCCTGTGGTATGCTGAAGTGAACAATCCCTTGAAGGAGCAGTTGATGTTATGGACAGAGGTAAAGACAATTCAATTGTACTGGATAGAAAGCAAGCAAGTTATTAAATCACAGGCTTAAGAATCTTGTCTCATCTCTCATCTCATAATTTTAGGGATCTGCTTCTAAACCACATGTCGTCATCATCGGTGCTGCTACGGTGAATTCCTCTTTGCAGTCGTAGTGTATTCAGGTGCTGTTGCTGAAAATCCTTTTAATGACTGATGTTTGTGGTTTCCAACAGTGGTCCATTAAGTTGCACAATGGCAAGAGTGAGGCTCTCTTTCAGTACAAAGCGAACCTCACGGCTATATCCGACACACTGGAAAAGCTAGCTGAGCACAGCGAGGTCTATTGGGTTCTGCAAGGTGAATTTTGAAATTCAGATCCTCTGTAATGATGGCTTCACGTTCCTGTCTCATGTTTTTGCCTTGCCTGTTTAAATAGATCCTGTTTATGAGGATGTACTAAGTGACAGTCGAAAGATGATCACAAACGAGCAGATAAATCTGTACAATGAGGCAGCGGTTGGTACTCTGAATACCAGCAAAAAGAAGGTCAAGTTCTTAGAGGCCTCTCGGCAAGCTGCTTTGGAGACCATTTCCCAGTCGGTGGATGGCTTGCACCTTCCTGAGAGCACAAGAGATGTTGTAAGCCTCTGGTTAAAACTAGTTTCCAATTAATAGCTCCATTTTGTTCTTTTTAACTAATAGGACTTATATTTACCCACTTCTCAGGGCGCCATGGTTCTGATGAACTCCATATGCAACAAGATCCTAAAGCCCATTGACGGCTCTTGCTGTCAGAGCGCTCCTCCCCTAAGCATCCTTCAGAAGATAGCTGTTGGTCTCTTCCTGCTGTCCATCATCATCTTCCTCATCCTGGGCTATAGTAGACATCGTAAGAGCAGACCTGTTCCTGATGTGGAGAGCGGAGAGGACAAGAAACCCCCTGTTGTTGTGGGTCAACTGAACTCAAAGGGACCTTTACTGGCCATTGGCAAAATGAGCCTTATCATGTTGTACTTCTACCTGTGTGACAGGGCAGATATCTTTATGAAGGAACAGAAATTCTATACACATTCTACCTTTTTCATCCCTCTCATCTACATCTTCGTTCTGGGCATCTTCTACAGTGAGAACAGCAAAGAGGTAGCGCACACACTAGGGAAATTGTTTTAGTCTGAAAGAGAACTCAAATGCTGTTTAGATGTTCGTATTGATATTCTTGTACTATTTTAATTTCTCTTTCCAGACTAAACTCCTGAACAGAGAGCAAACAGATGAATGGAAGGGCTGGATGCAGCTGGTTATCCTTATTTACCACTTTTCTGGAGCTAGCACTGTACGCTTATTAATAGCTTGAATTTAATAGCATTGGATTACTTTGCTTTACTCTGGTATTACTAGTGACTGCACTCTTAATCTCCTTTTTTGTCCTCAGTTTATACCTGTGTACATGCATGTCCGTGTCCTGGTAGCTGCGTATCTCTTCCAAACAGGATATGGACACTTCTCGTTCTTCTGGTTAAAGGGAGACTTTGGACTTTACAGAGTGTGTCAGGTACATGTTGCCAGACTCCGTATGCATGTAGCAGTGACGTATGGTCTTCTTCTAAAATGATGAAGCAAAGTCCTCTGTCAGTTTGGGTTTTTTTGACCAATGTAAATGTGTTTCAATTTCATTTGATGTTTCAAAATAATTTCATACTTAATAATTTAATAATTTCAAAAGAAATTAATACTTTTATTCAGCTTGTGTGCATAAATAGAATAAATAAATGCTGTTAAATAAATAGCATAAATAAATAAATTCTGTTTTTTAACTTTGTTAATTGTAGCGAATCAGCTCATGGGGAAATATGAATAATTAATCATAACTAGTTATAATTAATTATAAATATTTAGATCCGCTGTAGATATTTACTTGACCTCTCAGGGTCAACTGTCTGACAATTCTAAGAACGTTAATTTCCTGGTTAAGGGAAATAACTTTCTTACTGTACTTTTCCCTACTCACATTCCATTAGGTCGTAAATGTATCTGGTGTCAGGGTTGCCATGGTAACCAGGGTCCTGGGCCTCGTTCACAGACATCTTGGCACCCAGTATGTTTATTGGGTGAGGGGTCTGTGAATGTTTGTTAATCTAATGAATAATTGATTTGTTAAATCAAATGAAAAATGGTGTGTCTGATTGGTCCAGATGCTACATAATCAAAGAACATTGAAAAAAAAATTATCAATTTTTCCACAAAAAATTTAGGCAACACAGCTGTTTTCAGCATTGATAATAATAGGAAATGTTTCTTTAGCAGCAAATGAGCATATTAGAATGATTTCTGAAGGATCATGTGACACTGACTGAAGGCTGTATTGTCTACTGAAAATTCAGTTTTGCCATCACAGGAATAAATTACATTTAATTTAAATACATTAGCATAGAAAACAGTTGTTTTAAATAACAAGTTTTAAGTAATAATATTTCACAGTATTACTGTTTATTTGCTGTATTTTTTTAATAAATGCAGCCTTGCTGAGCATAAGAGACTTCTTACAAAAATATTTTAATTTAAATACATTAGCATAGAAAACAGTTGTTTTAAATAACAAGTTTTAAGTAATAATATTTCACAGTATTACTGTTTATTTGCTGTATTTTTTTAAATAAATGCAGCCTTGCTGAGCATAAGAGACTTCTTACAAAAATATAAAAAAAAATCTATTGACCCCAAACTTTTGAACAGAGTATATTAACATTATATTTATTAATGCCAAAATCACAATATGAAATTTTTTATTGATATTATACAGTATTAAAAATATGTTATGATAAAATGTTACGTTTTTTAACATTTGTACATTCAAAAATATTATCTATAATAATACAGTAACTTAAGACTTATTTTTAATAATTGTGAACTGTCATTTATTGTTTTTAATTGTCAACTTCCATATGGATTATTGCTAGGTCATAGTTCATCACTAGATAATGGTTTTGTTTACTTTCTTTTCTTGTGCAATGTTTAAAATCGTTGTTATAAAGTAGATGTGACCAAATTGCTTATCAATGTAAATATTAATAATGGCAACGTTTAGAGGGAAATGCCTAATAATAATAATAATAATGCATAACTGCACAGTATGATATAAATAATGAGTCCTCTCTGTATTTGTCTTTTAGGTTCTCTTCAGGCTTAACTTCCTTGTGGTGGTTCTGTGTCTGGTTATGGACCGGCCTTACCAGTTTTACTACTTTGTGCCTCTTGTCACTTTTTGGTTTGCAGTTATTTACGCAACAATGGCATTGTGGCCACAGATTCTTCAGAAGCAAGCTAATGGTAATTTAAGTCATAACAATATTTGCTGTTATTCATTTAATAGACACCAAACATTCCTAAAATACTTTTTTAAACATGTGACATTTCAAGCCTTGAAACATTGTTCCTCTTTTTTTTTTTCCTCCCTCAATCATGTACAGGTAGTGCATTCTGGAATCTGGCACTATTGTTGAAACTTCTGGGTTTGCTTCTTTTCATCTGCTTCTTTGCGTACTCACAGGTGAGTTTCTCTCTTACAGTAGGACTGTTAAAGACTAGTTTTGAGAGAAATATGTGCATTTCAATCTTTTGCGTTTGTTGCAGGAACTCTTTGAGGCTGTTTTCTCTTTGTGGCCCGTTTCAAAGCTCTTTGAGCTGCAAGGTAGCATCCATGAGTGGTGGTTCAGGTGGAAACTAGATCGATTTGTACGTAAAACATCCTTTCCTTTGAATTAATAAGAAGTGTTAAACATTTGTCAGTTTCACATCTTGAAGTAAAGAATTTCTTTCTGCTCTTTTGGATGCTAGGCTGTGATCAATGGGATGCTCTTTGCCTTCATATATCTGCTGCTGCAGAAATGTCAGCTGCTGTCTGAAGGCAAAGGAGAGCCTCTCTTCTCCAACAAGATTTCCAACTGTCTGCTCTTCGTCTCTGTGGTGTCATTTATGGTAAGACTTATTCTGTCTCTCTCTGAAAATAGTAATCTGTCTTCTTTACAATTGATTGTTTTGTTCCCAGACATACTCCATATGGGCCAGTGGGTGCAAAAACAAGTCTGAGTGTAATGAGATGCATCCATACATATCTGTTGTCCAGGCAAGTACCCATTCCACTTTGTGCTCTTTATAATGCGTTCTCTTGCACACTTTTAACTACGGATGATTTAACCAAAACACGAAAAAAGAAGTAGAAAAGATTCTTTTGACTGTTCATAACCACACTAAACTTTATCACAGTTGATTCAGACAGTCAGATGGCTTTTGTGGGAACAGAAAGAACATTTGTGACCTAAAATAATAGATCCCTTTCAAAGGGCTTTTTCTTTCGTTCTGTTGTGCCTGTGAGGCTGCTGACTTTTCATCACTGTGTGTTCATCCCTCTGCCCACAGATTCTGGCTTTCATTTTGATCCGGAATATTCCTGGTTACGCTCGCTCTTTGTACAGCTCATTCTTTGCATGGTTTGGAAAGATCTCCCTTGAGGTGAGACCATACAAGCTTTTCTGCTAACAAACTTTTAAAAGAATAATCTGGGGTATTGCCAACATCATTTATGGATATTTTCAATGTACTGTGAATTAGGATGGACATTTCCAACTCGTCCCTCATTGAGTATAAAATTAAATCAAGCGTAGTGTTAGTTCTGGCAGGTCACGTTAGTCAAGCTCGCATCAGCTGACTCTCAGCTGATCCCCATCAACCTATGGGAATACGACACCCATCTTAAGCATTCATATATAAGGTCAGTGTTATCAATCAGCAGTTTTTGCATTGCTCAATAGCTAATTACCCTCCTCCATCCCCAGCTCCGCCTCTGTCAGTCGGGATTCAGCCTTCTGATTCTCCTTGAATCAGACTAATTCTAAAATGTGTACATAA